AGCATTGTGTATCTTTTTATATTCCAGCAGCTTATTCTCATAAAGACTGCTTTTGATTTTCTATTTTCTTGAATATCAAGTATGTTTGTTTTGCCATAGAAGCTAAGTGGTTTCTTGACTCTTGCTAGTTTGGTTTCTTTTAGTATATCCCATATTGTTAGCTCAAGTTCAAAACTTTCTTTTTTTCTCGTTTTGAATTTTACTAGTTCTGATTCTTCCTTTTTTGAAGTCTGCACTTGATGTCTTGAAGCCCATATTAAGCTATTAATATCTTCTTTTCTGTAGTTTTTTGGTGCCCATCAAGAGTCTTGGATATCTTCTCTTTTGTGTAAAGTTTTTCTTTTAGTTTCAGTAATAGTACAAACTTTTATTTTTTATGTCTAAGAGCTATTAGTTCTTAAGTTTCTTTAATATCATGATCATGTGAACCACATTTTGTTGCCAGAAGTGTGACTTCTTTTTCTGTGAGTTCATCTTCACTATTTACTAAAATTTCTGTTTCACTTTTATTTAAGTTTGCCTCTGCTTGTTTAGAGGTTTCACTACTATCTCTGTGCTTATTTTGTAGCTCAGAGGTTTCATTTTCTATATTTTTTTTTTATTTGATGTTTCTACTTTTGTGAGTTTAGCTGTAGGTGCTTCAATTTCTATTTGGTTTAAAGATACTAATTCTTGATCTTTTTTTTTCTCTTTGACTTTAGATTTAAATTCTTTTTTTTGGTTTGGTATAACTAAATTTACTGTTGAAGTTTTTATTTCTTTGCTATTGTTAGTTGAGATTCTTTTAATAGTATGAACTCCTGCTTTAACTAGTCTTTTTTGCTCTTCTGAAATGATTTTGTCTTGTGCTAGTTGTTGTTTTGTCCATTCATATCTTTCTATTAGTGCTCTTATTGTTACTACTGTATAAGAATTAGGCAAACTTAAATAATCTGATATGTCTTTGTCTATATTGAGCATTAACTCTTCTATATCTTTAAAAAATCTCTTCCTTTTTGTATCTGGTTTGCTGAGAATGTTTCTGAATTTCTTAAGCTCTGGCATATTTATTGGATCTTTTTATTTGTTTGTTTAATATTACTTAGTATTAAATAGACTTAATCTAGAATTCTCTTAGTCTTCTAAATCTACTATCAGCTATTGGTATATTAGAATCTAACTACTACTATTCTAGAAACTTCTATATTAATTACATGTGACTAGGTCTAGTTTTGTTGTTGTTTGGTCCTGTAAGCTTGTTATGATTTCTAATCACTTGTTTATTTACCTAATCAGATATCTGTTGTTTGTTTATTTTTTGCTTATGTGTCTTTGTGTTACCAAGATTTGATCAGCATACAAGGGTTAGAATATTCTCTAAAAAATATCAAATTTTCCAAAATTTTCTGAAGAATTAATTTAAGATAATTTTATAGTTCTGTATACTAGTTAAAGAAAAGAAAGCTTCTAATAAACTTTGTGTTATTTTTGATTCTTCTTTTTTTTTCTTAAAGTATCAAAGTTAATTTGCTATACTCAATTTTGTCTAAATTACAGTTTTTTGTTTTGGTCCTTTTTGGTAAAAAGGATCAGCAGAAAGAGTTTTTTTAAAAAAATTAATATTTGCCTTAATGTATATTAATTAATATTATGAATATTATTTATATAGAATTGTATTTTATTCATTACATTATAGAAGAGCTGTTAATATACATTAGCAAAGTAAATTGTTTCAGGACTAAGTACATAATCATGATATTCAAAATTTATTTTAGTAACAATAGGATTTGAGGATTTAAGTAGCCAAAACATGTTAATATAACAAGTGCAATTTGTTTTCTGTTATATTGTTATGAAGGATCAGTGGTTGTTTTGTTTGAATAAAATTTTTCAGCATGCTAGTATACAAATACATACTTGTAGACATCACCATTTTTATCCACTTTTTTTCTTGAATTCGCTATGCAAAACCAGTCTGCTGTTTATATACTAATAATACCAAATATGCATAGTTCTAGTGATCAAATTTTATTCTAACACATAATTCTATTGCCTGCTCAAAAGCTATGCTAGATATTGTAAGTGTTTTTAGTAGTCTTCTTTTAAATATTCTAACATAATTTAAATTACTTTCTTGAACATCTTTGTTATAACTAACTATTTTATCACCTGTATCAGATTGATCTATTTGTTAAATGCAATATTATTTCATAATAATACTTAAGCTAAATATATAGAGTTAAATATGTTAGATATGAAGTACTGTAGTTAAAGATGTTGTCTTATCATATATAAGATAGTAAGTATAAACCTTCTTTTTAGTTGTGTTAAGCATGGTATTATTATATAGTAGTAATACTTGAACAGTATAAGTAGGGTAAAATTCTAAAATTTTTTAGTGATGCTAAGTTCAGTGTATAAAATATAAAATACTATAATCAAAATGCTATCTTACTATAAATCAACTCAAATGAATTTGTTTTGAATGCAATATTATATAGTTGTGATACTAGACTATATAAAAAGGTTAAAATTTAGTAATAGTGAGCTAGGTATATAAAACATAAAAACTATAGTCAAAATACTGTATTAAACCATAAGTATAAACTTTTAATTTAGTTATACTTATTCATAATATGCAATACACTAATCCTTTTCTACTATTTCATGAGACAAAATGTTGGCCAGTCCTTATTAAAAAACATTTATGAATAAAAAAACTTATTTACAAACAAAAAGAAGATTGATCACTTTGTAATCACTTTCTTATTACATATTTATTTATTTACTGCATTTAAGTTATATAATAATTATATATAATAAATAGTATAGGATGTTGTTTAAACAAATCAGCCAGGCTGATTTTAAGAAAATCTTTATTTTTATTATATTTTTATTATATTTATATTTTATAATATAATAATTATATAACTACTATATAATTATTATATATTAATTAGTTGATTATAAGTAACTTAATAGAATATTTATAATATAATTAAACTATTTTTAATATATATCTACTATATATTTGTTATATATTAATTTTAATAATATTATAACTATTTAGTTAATATATAATAATTATATTATAAAACTATTTAGCAAAAATTCAAGTTTCTGTATAGAATCTACTAATCACCAAAATATATAAAGAATATTAAGGATTTTTAAAAAAAATTCTCTTACTATATTCAAAAAAAATAGATACTTTAGTAATAGCATATATAGATAACTTACTGCAGATTATACAAAATAAGAACTTTCTTATAAAAATTCTTACAACAGCCTTCTCTTTCTATAACGGCATTAGCATAAAAGTTAATTCTGCAAAGTTAGTCTTAGTAACAAACTCAACAAATTCAAATAATTAAATAATCTTTAAAAATGAACAATTAATAGCTTTAATAGTAAAATACATTTTAAGTATCTAAAGGCTTGGTTCTCTACTAATAAAAACTCTATACTAGTACAAAAATAAATTTAGCAGAGGTAACAATCAATTTAAAAAAGCTTCAATTTGCTTACATTACAGAGAAACAGACAATCTATATAATCAATAATGTAATTACTTCTTGACTTCTCTACAGGTTATACTTCTTTTTTCTGTTCAGTTTACAAATTAACTCTTTTAACAAGGTATGTGCTCAACTAATCAAATACAAAACAAGATTGGTTCATTGAGTTTTCAACTCTTTTTTGTTTAATCTTGACATCTATATTTTGAACAACTTAGTCTAGTCACAACTTTTATCTTTGGTAATAACATTACAAAAAAATTTAAATTACACTAATTTTAACTTCTCTTTTCTAAAACTACAACTACAATAGTTGCAAAACTCTGCACTTACCAACATATTAATTCTTGCCTAACTTTTAGTCTTTTCAACTACACAAATTAATATACTAACTTGTCAGATGATACTAATATTTTATGTACTAAACCTGCAGACTTTACAAAATAGAGATGACTGACCTTATCCAAAAACCTTTACTGAAACTCAATAAATCAGATTCTAGTAAATTATCTAAAGGCTTCATATCTAAAAAAAAATTAAATAACAACAACTTCATAGTATTGAACAATTTCTAAATGCAACCAATTCCAAACTTTTAAATAGAATAGCTTTCATTACAACATTAAGAAAATACTAAGAAGTTAATGTTTACAATAGTTTATATTGTTATAGAATGAATTTTATTACTATTATATTAGAATTTCTTATTATATATTATTATTACTATTATTTTATTTTATAATCACTTAGTCACTTAGTCGCTTAAATGCTTAGATGCTTAGATGCTTAGTTGCTTAGTCACTTAGACGCTTAGATGCTTAGAAACTTAGTTGCTTAGTTGCTTAGTCACTCAGATGCTTAGACACTTAGATGCTTAGTCATTTAGTTGCTTAAAGTATATAGTCACTTAGTTACTTTGTCACTTAGCTAGGAAGCTATATAAACTCTGCTAAATTTTTTAAGTAGAAGTAGACACAACTTCCACTCTTCCTCTTTGATTTTGACTAAGTTCTTTCTTGTAAAAGAATTCCTTAGGAACAAAAATCTAGCAGATAGCCTTTTCTCTCTTATCATTAATAAAGTATATAATTTTACCCTCTAGGATAATTCCTACAGGCAAGGCTTGTTATCTCTTCTTTATAAAGTATAAACTATTATCTCTTATATACTGAACTGCCACAGAGAAAAGGGTATAGTTTCTTACAGACTAAGAAATTATACTTACTTCTTGAATATTGCTTCATTCCTGTTTAGGACTCTGTCACTATGTTGTTGTTATAGTACTGCTGTTAAGAAGACCACAGTACTGTAACATTTGGTACCTTCTGGTAGAAATCTAAAGAAATTCCTTCTACACCTCTCTTATCTCTCTTAAGCTGATAACTCCCAGGACACCTGTCTTCTGCACGCTAGCTGTTCTATTTTATTTTTTGAATATCTGTCTCCAGTATATAAGCCATTATTTTTATATTTCTTTGAATATTGTTTCTAGCATGTGAGCTGTTATTTTTGAAACCTCTGGACATTTGTCTCTAGCACGTGAGCTGTTATTTTTATATTTCTCTGAACATTGTCTCCAGCACGTGAGCTGTTATTTTTGAAACCTCTGGATATTTGTCTTTAGTATGCAAGCCATTATTTTTATATTTCTCTGGATATTGTCTCCAGCATGTGAGCTATTATTTTTGAAATCTCTGACATTTGTCTCCAGCATGCGAGCTATATTTTTCTATAGCATATGGTGCAACCTGTTGCTGAGTTATATAGTGATTATATTTATAATCACCAACAAGCATATATAGATTCAGACCATTTAGCCCAGGATATACTTCAAGCACTATATCCTGACCTCTCTTGTATTCAGTATTATCAACCCAGAAAATCTATTCTAATATATAGTGTATATTCAGATATTATAGATGTTTTAATGTTTATATAGCAATAGTTTTTGAGCAAATACACCATTTAGATCTTGGGCTTTTTCTGTATATAGTTAAATTTATATGCGATTTTTTAAAGTTTTATAATAGAATTTCTTTTATCAATAAGATGGACCAAAGACTCAGATCAATATCATATTATCTGGAATTAAAAGTATTCAATTATGAACTTGCAAATCTTGCTTTATTTACAGCATCTGAATATAAGAACATAATAAAAGTTATGTTCTTTATTCTTGAAGGCCTTATTAAAGAAAATGAGAATGAATTACTTATTCAGATATTTATTAATTAGAATAAAATATACTATCAATTAAGGCAATATAAATTTTCACAATCAGATCTTCTCCAATTTGAGGTTGGTAATTTGTTTATATATATGGGCTAGGTACTAAGAAAAGGGATCAAATTAACAATTTTCAAAATCTTTTAAGCCTAACTAATCCAAAATTAAAGTTTGTGTTTTCTTATAATTTATTGTAGAATTTATAATATAATAACCCTTTTTTTATTAATTTGATTCCTTTTCTTAGCACCAAGCCATATTATAGTTTATTATAGTTATGATAACTAAATAAAATTGTAATTTTGTAAATATTAATTCAAACATAGCCAAAAGATTTCATTAAAATTCTTGAACCATTTACTAAGAATGATTGACAGTATTAAAAATTTTATTATTAGATACATCATATTGTCAAAACTATGGGAACTTAAACAGACTAAGTGCTGAAACATATAAAGTGCTTCACAAGCAATATATTAAAGCTTCTTATAGAATGTCAAACAAATATAATATCAACATGCAGATTTTGCAAAAGGTTTCGTATTTGACTTTTTATTATTACTATTTACTTATTTTAATTTATTTTAATAAAGTAAGGTGAATGTGATCTTGTCTCAGTTCCTTTATTTTACTATTTAATTTGTGTTAATATAAAATTTCATAGATAACAAAAACACAACCACTCAAAAACATTTATAGATATATTTTAATACAAAATAGGTAATCTAAACCTAAAGAAAATACAGGCAAATTTAAAAAAGAATATTGTACAATATCACAATGTCTTCTAAAGTTATTCATCAAATTATATAAGCATAATAATGAATATATCTCTAAAATTCTTGAGGGTTTGTACTATTTTGTTTCTGTGTTAAGTGATTATTTTGGTTACATGCCTTTATATAAAGAAGATATAAAGAAATTAGAAGCAATTTTTACATTATATAAATCTTTTATATTGTCAACAAAGAAGAGTAAGGACTACAAATCATTACTATAATAAGCTAATGTTTAGCAATATTGCTGTTTATATAGGTTCTAAACAAAAAGAATTTGAAACATTTAATGAATATTTCTTTGTGAAGGTACTGTATATATTTGAATAAATTATTTTTTATATAATTTTAAAATTAAATTTTGGGTTTAATTTTTAGGTTTTATTATTGGTTCATATAGAGCTAAATATTATAACATTTGATTTTGCACTTATTCGTTGGTATGACTTTAAATTGTTAAATGCTCTTTTAAAATTCTACAAATACAAATGCTCTTATTTACAGTTAACAAATGGGGGGATGCCAGTAGAAACCAAGCAATTTGTTTCTAAGTAAATTTTTTTTAAGCTTTGAACTAAAATTTCTCAACAACTACTAAACCAAATGTAATAAAAATTTTTTTATTTTAATTCTATATAGTTATAAAATTAAAATAAAAAAATTTTTATCAAGTTTGATTTAATAGTTGTTGAGATATTTTAATTTAAAATTTAAAAAAAACTCACTAAAAACAAATTGCTTGGTTTCTACTGGCATCTCCCAAATATTTACAATTTAATTCTGGTATAATCAATTAATAACCTCATTTATATTGTGCTGCAATTTGAAAAAACAAACTCATATTATGTTAATGTTTTCATATAACTGTATAGAATTTATATAAACATCTTCTTTCATATAATGTATTACTATTCACTATTTAATAATAAGAATCATAAAAAAAAATTATAGCTTTTTAATATACTATTTCTAATTCAACTTCAAAAATTGGTTTATCTTTTCAACTAAATAGAGCCAAATAACATTTTATTATCCACCTCTCTATAAATTACATTCTGAAACAAGAAATGAATATTTTCAATTAACCATTAACAATTAAACAATTTACCAGAAAAATCAAATACTTAATTCTTCAGTATATAATAGTAATAGTTCAGAAGGTTGTTAATGCTGCTAATTTATTATATAGCTTCTAAATCAGTTATATATTTAATTATTTTACCAGAAAAATAACTATATTATACATAATCTTACATGATATAAAAACTACAACAATTCAGTGAACCCACTTACAAGATTTCTGTTTTATAAGCTAAGTGGTCAAAGAAAAATATATTCTTTATATTCAGCATCTCATATAAAATCTGCAACAACATCTATAAGTTATCAAATAAATGAGGTTCCAAAGTCTAATGTTACTATTATATAGGTGTGTTTTTATTAATATAGTATGAACTTAGTTAACTTATAAAGTATATGTATTAGGTTTTCAGTAAGAAAATAAATAGTTATTAAGCACTATGGCTTATAATAATAGCTAGTGCATATGAGATAATGTAATTAATTTAATGAAAAACAGGATCAATTAATATTGATTAAATATTGATTAACAAGACAAAAAAAAATGAAAAACAACAATTGACAAAGGATACTGCCTAACAGACAATAAACATAATCACTGACCAATAATCAAGAACCTAATACATAATGATTCAATTCATGTGTAATATAATATTATCTAAAAAAGCAAACAAATATGATGCTTATTAACTATCTTAATCAGAAATAACAAAAAACTAACACAAAAGATAAAATGGCATATTACAAAATCACAGCTAGCCCACAAGTATATTAATTAGATCAGGTCATGTTATCACAATATTTGATCGAAGTAATTATAGTATAATTAAATAATAACAATATCAAGGAGATTGACACTTATTAAGGTAATAAGGTAATATGAAAATGCTAAGAGTTTAAATGATTAGAATAATTAATATGAATATAAAACAACCATCAAGATAATATAATAACAATACATAACACAATACTTTATATACTTGCCATTCTAGATGGCAGTTAACCATATACTTTGTAATTTCATTACTATGTTTCTGGTATTTATAATTAAATATTGTATATAATAATTTTACTTACAATTTGTTGGAATGTAAAATTATATAATTATAATACATAACTTTATAAATATATAAAAATTATATACAAGGTCGGCAGCTTCCAACCAAGGATCAGAGGGTTTAAATCCTCAGTAAGTTGAGGATCCAATGTGAGATAAATTGGCTGCTTAGGCGGGTCACACCTGGGCTTTAAATAGTCGAGTAAGTTTTTATTAGTACAGGAATATAGTATAGAAAATTTATATTTAATGTAAATATAAAGTTCTATTACTTCTGATTTAAATAATAAAAGCAGGATCGCTAAAAAAAAAATATATATATATAAAAATTATATAGAAATTTTATTTACAATTATATTTATATAATTTTTTTTTTCCACTTTGGTGATCTTGCCAATCAACTTTATTATAATTTGTATTCTATACAAATACTTTGACATAAATTATCTGTTGCCAGCATCCCACAGTTACTTCCAACAGCACCTATGAGTGATCTGTTGCACTGAACAACAATTCTTCAAGAAAAAAGCAGTACCAGGAGCTCATCTGACTACCACCCTACAATAGGATATCACCAATCTGATGACATCTTCTCATAGAGAAGTGAAAGAAAACAAAAAAAAACATATAAAGAAAAATAAAACACAGAAGTATAGGAGATAATGATAAAAGATACAAAAAACAAGAAATAAAAGAGGAGAAGGGAGAAAAACAAGAAAAGAAAAAGAAAGCAGGGCTCTCATCATGTTAACAGACTAAAAGCTAACAGATGGTTACTAACAAGGCCTGTGTCAGACAACAAGAAAAAATTATAAACTATACTAAATAAAGGAGTCTCTACTCTAACTTTATCTATCTAATTTATCTAAGTAAAAAAAAAACCCTTACTACTAGAAAAAATACTTCTTCAACATAATATAAAAAGTCAGAATCTGGAGAACTGATTAGTCTGGGGCAGTGTTTAACAGTTTTCAGCAGTTTTGAGGCATGTGTATGAGTCATGTTTGTTTTGTTTTGTTGTTTCCAACTCTCAATGTACTACAACTCCATTTAGAAAGGTAAACACTGCTAACTGTTTTGGTAATTTTACGTATTGATCTTTTGAAGAGGGTAAACTAAATCGCCCACTTTTACAAAATTTTTCTCAAAAAAAAGTGGAGGACAACAAGGTTATGTAAGGTTCTTTGTGTAAGTTTTACAGTTCTATAGTAGTTTCTTCAAGGTTTCAGTAGTCTTGACAAGAGCTTTGCCACAATGTTTTCCAGAATACACCTTCTGGTTTGGATGCCAAATGAAGAAAGGAGTCTACTAGGAAGAAAGAGAACAAGTTTGACCTTTCTTCAAACTATCACAAGTATGCCCACACCTCAGTATTTCACATCTAGTATTGGCTTATCGACAAACACCTACTTCATGTAGAGCCAAGACTACTGTCTTCTTGTGTTTTTCTATAAGGTTTTCCTATAGTTTAGTTTTTTGTTGTTGTTGACCAGAGAATTGTCAGAAAGAGTTTTTTTTTCTTTCTATATTTATATAATTATAAATAAATGTTATATAAATTTTAAATTAAATTATATATAATTGTTATAATATAAAACATTTATATAAATTAGTTATATAAATTGTTAATCTATTACTATATTAAAATAATTAGAGT